CTGGTTTTGGCTCAGTTCACTTGGAGTGTAACTTTTATTTACTTGAAAAATATTTATATGAAAACATATAGTGGAGCATCTTAGCTCCACTTAGTATTCAAATGATGGTAGGCTTCTTTCTAAGTCTCATAATTTTCTCTGGGAGTACATTTGCATAAGTGTTTTACTTCAGGAGAAAAAAATGCTTGTTCTCATTTATCTCCTTTGGTAGTAGCATGGAAGTCTTGGAAATGCAAGGTCATCCATGTGGGTCCAAACCTGGGAGGCTGAGGTGCTGTACAAAAGCAAATAAATATCACCTTACTGCATAGGTACTGAGATAGATCATTATCTCCATGCTTAGCAAATAACCTCTGTGGAAGAGATATATATTAGTCAGTACATTTGGTTATCTTTAACCAAAGTGGTCTCCAAAACTCCCATTGCCAGCTCTAATTGATTGTTTTCTGGACAACAGTCCCTTATAAAGAGAATGAAATGTGAAGGGTTTCTAGTATTATAAACTTACCAAACATGTTTTGTTTTACTTGAAACATGACTTACCTTGGTTTTACTTTCTTTATATCATTCTCCCCATCTCGTTGGATTTGTCTTTGGTTTTACGGGAAAAATTTTGGATGCAAAGTTGATTTATTGAAACATTTTTCTTGAATGTCATTGTGTAATTTCTGTGTAAGTCTGTTGCTGCAGGGACTGCAAAATTTTGCTGGAATTTGCCATGATCTTAAGTAAAGCACTCAATAGCTGGAATATAATAGAAATATAATTAGAGAAATGGAAATGGGCAAAAGTGTCAATACAGAACAGAAGCCAGGTGTTGGCTGGGAAGAGCAGTAAATCCTTTCAAAATAGAAGTTTTAGACATTTAATGACCTCTAACTGCTGTCTAACTGCCAAATATAATCTAGGGCTGGATAGAGCACTTTACCACCTTTGCTGTTTGTAATAAGGAAGGATCAATTCCCTTATCCATAAGCACAGTGTGAGTTCTAGAACTTTCAGTGTCCTTGGAGAGGCCCTGGCACCTCAGCACCCAGCTGAGGTGGTGGGATGTAGATAATCTTAGCACGGAAATGGCCCTGTGGCCTTTTCTGCAAAGTAGAAAAACTTCCTTAGGTTACATAAGGGGTTAAGAATATTTCTAGATTGTGAAGGCAAGGAGTCATGACAGCCATTTGTCTATTTTCAGTGTGTGTGGACTGTTTGCTTAAGAGTTTTTCTTTCCAACCAACTCTAAAAGTTCTTTGGAGAAAGAAATTAGAATAATCGGCTCCAAAACTACCATAAGGGTTAGAAAGCATATGGATCAGAAACCAAAAAGACCAGAATCTCACAAAATTACCAACTTTGAAGACTTTAGAAATAATATTCTTGGCTTACTGAAGTCAGCAATAATTTTATATGTTCAAAATTTACAAACAAGTATGTTATTCAGACTGTGTTTGGAACATTAATTTTTGATTTTTTTTTTCAAGTGATACCATATTTAGCTGAAGTTCTAAATCACCGCGTGATCTGTGTTTGCCAGTGAAATGCCAAGTGCCCCATTTTGTTCCTAATGGAACTCTTGTACATGTTTGTGTGTAGCCTGCAGTTTTACATTCTGTCCAGAGATGGAAGCTGCTTGCTCTGACAAGGTCAGGTTGGGAAGGAGGCCACATTCCCTGAATAAGAAAGCCAGGAGGCCAGAGCATGCCATTTCATTAGACAGTCCAGGACTCTCTTACAGAAAAGGAGGGAGAATGAGTGCTGTGGAATTCAAAATAACTATTTCAGCTTTTCTGTAGCTCGGAAAATGTTGCTCTTGGGCAATATTCTGTTAATGATTACTATTGGACCAGATGTTCAGGACACGTAAATGAGTGTATTTCCATTGACATCAGTGGAACTAGGCCAGCTTATGCCATCTGAGAATCTGTCCTCTAAGCTTTCTTTCTAAACCAGTCGTAATTTTGGATAAGGAGTTGCATCATTATCTGTCATAGTTCTGGTTTCCAGCAGAGGAGAAGAAAATTAACGTTCTTATTCGCTTCATCAGTGTGAGAACAGATTAAACTGAGACAAAGAATCAAAGTAATTCAAATAATCAAATTTGAGAATGTGAAATGTAACAGACTTGCTTTGTTTTGCAGTGGATATTTTGTCTGTCAAAACAGAACTTCATAATTTTCTAGATGGCTGGCTAGTTCTCCAAGCTTCTGATGCCACTTAGGCCAGTGATGTGGAATAAATTGAACACGCTAACCTGAAAAAGATCCCAAATATTTGTTCTTTGTTGTTGGGGTTATTTTTTATTTATTAATATATTAAGACAGACTCATGCAGGGACTCTAAGAAATGGGACCCAGCTCTGTGAACTGGGTGCATTCCTCCTGCCTTTCTGTTCTGCTCCCATTCAGCACTTATAATGGTAATGAAGCCTAATTACAAATGCATGTGACTGCCTGTTGTAATCTGTCAGTGTTTTTCTGAAAAACCTTGTGCCAGTTCAGTATTGGTCATTAGATAATAAGGATTGATAAAACGTAAGGGGCAAAATGTTAAAAATGCTACTATCGATTAGAACGCACCTTAATAATGAAACCATGGGCCTGGGGACGAAAGCCATGGATCATTTTGACAATTCGGCCTTAGATTCTGGATGAGACAGAGTGGGGACAATTAATCCCTCAGAGCCACAAATCACAAATAAAGTAGTTGCAGCTCATTACAACCTGACCTTGCTAAACGGCCTTGAAAACACAAGTGACCTTCTAGTATTTGAAAAGATTACAAAGCTCTATAGAGAAATATATTCTTATTTATTTATTTATTTTTAATGCTTGGGAGCCACATGGCTTAATTTTAACCGATCTTGATGAAAGAAGCTTTTAACTTCACCATCTTTCAGGAACCAAATAGCTAATGTCTCGTGAAACTGATGGTGATACTGCAGGGCAGTGTTTGGGAAAGATCTTAAAAGTCAAAAGTCTTGATCTGTGCAATTAATCAGTAGAAGTTTGTGCTGCAATGGCTTTGAAGAAACAATAGTTTCAGTGAACTATCCAGTGGTTCTAGTTAGGTCTTTTATAAATATTATGGTATTTTTGGAGCACTGCATAATAGCAGGAAAGCATCTTTATGCATTACAGTCAAGTCCAGCCCCAAACTTTGGAAATATGTTCAGCATAGTATATAATGTAGATGAACTCCCTTCATGTTCCCACCCTAAATGGGAATAAGGAGAGGTCACGTATTTTGCATTTCTGTTCTTTGACTTGCGCTGTAGAAGCTCTTTGGCTAACTGACTTGAGTCCTTTGTCATGGGCTAGTGCATATGGAAATCTCAAAAGATTCCATCTGAGTTTCTGATGGAATTGTCTACCTTAATTTGACCCTTAATGCTGAGTCAGGCTCATCTTTCTACTGACTGTGATAAAAGGAGATATCTTTTCAGCTCATTCCTGAGAAGAGGTCATGACACCATGCCTGATGTTGTCTCAACTGTGCAATGAATTTAGAGCACTTGCTGAGTTTGCTGTGCTTTGGACTAGGCCCATGTGTGACTCTGCTTATTGCTCCTTCTTTTCTATGTACCTCAATGAGGTGTTTCTAAATGTCCTCGCCATGCATGAATTCCAGCTTCACCCCATGTACTGCATCCCCGACATTAGATAAATGCAATTCCTTTAAAACCCACTTCTCTGTAAATACAAGAGGCTATTGGCTTTCTTTGAGGTCTTTGCTGTATTCTGTACAAGAGTTAGGGTCTGCTTTGGTGCAGGGGGCATCATTAAGGATGCTCTACATACAGACCTTGTGGCTGTGGTAAGAGAGTGGTGGGTGACTTTCATGATGTCAATGATGGCTGTGGGGATGGAGGCAACAGCTCCAAGTTTCCTAGTTGTTTGATGTTCAGACAAAAGCAATGTGGAACCACTACATTAGATCACAGATTACGGAGCCATGCCAAATCCGAGAAATAGCATTGGATAGATAATATTTTCTGTAAAAGTGGAGTTTTCAAGATAGCTCTAAAATGCAACCTCCTGTTAGAGGACATGGCAAAAAAATCTTTGTTGAATGTATCATGTGCACAATAATTGCAGTCCCCTGGCTGTGTGGGGAGCAAGGTGAAGGCATCTCCATGCTGCTGCTGCTAGAGAAACTGAGAGCCCACTCTCACAGCACCTGGATTTAGGTAGTTTTACCCTGGCATTAGCAGAACTGAGGTTTAGCCATGGTAGAGCTCTCTCCTTGACTCTGTGCTTGGATGACAGTGCTTTAGGCATTGGGAGTGACTGAGTGAAGTCTGTGTGATATCACTGTGTGTAGTATATTGGTACTGGCTCTCCTTTTATTATCTTGAAACAAAATGGATTAGATGAACAAAAGGGATTCCTTTGAAGCTCCATTCGATTATTTCACAGTGGCAGCCAGGGAAAAACTCGCTCTATCCCCTGGATGTCAAAGTTCCTACTTCTGATCAGAAAGCATTGTGACATTTTCAGCCCATCAGTGGCTAAGCAGTGACTCCACAGTTTGAATTAACATTTCATCTCCTGACATTCCAGCCAACAATCCCAACTGCTTTCCAGAGACTTCTCCTCCAGAGGTTCAGCTGTAGTCAAGGTCTTGTGACATGGATAATCCTGGCCATGCACTTGTAGGGACATTGTGAGGCACAACACAACTCAATTACTGGACATGAGATTGGGAAACAAGTGGACTCCTTGTAAGAGAAAAATCATTCAACTATTTATCAAGTAGACCAAGACAGTGAGGTAATTCCATCATAGAACTGGACAACCAGAGCTATTACTTTGATACTTCCCATTTTCCTCTTTTTTAGTGGGAATTTAAACAGCATTTCTGATAGCATTAGAGGTGCTTTAAGAATCAACCCAAAAGTTTCCTTTACCATACATACTTAGTAGCTCCACTTAGTGGCTACTGGGATAACACAGAGGTTCCCTCAGCACCAGTTACCTGGTGCTGTGATGCTCATCCTCCTTCCCTCCATCCTGCTGGATCCTTCAGGCACACAGGCCAGGATTGCTGCAGGAATGCCAGAGACTGATGAGTGCACTAATTGCAGAGTGGGAAAGAACACCTGCTGATTCTCAGCTGAGTTATCAGCCTTATGTCTGTGAATGTTTCTCTGTCGAGTTCTTATGTAGCTGTGATTTCCTTTGGAAATTCGTGGGTCGTACGGAGCGCTGAATCACAGCAGCTCAGCACGCAGCCTTCCACCTTCATGGATGACACTCTTTCTGCTTGGAATCAGTGACTGACTCCTCTGCAGGCTTTCTGCTCTTTGAATCCTTGTTCACTTGATTTCTAGCTTTTGGGGATGAATTTACCTTCCTGTGTACTCTATTTACTAGGGAATGTGATTTTCAGAAGATATTAGGCATGCTTGAAGAATACTTTGGGGGACAAATTCTTCAGAGGAGCAGAGAAACCTGGCTTCAGGAAGGTGAGGTACCAGCTGTCTTTGTGTAAAATCTTGAAGTACTACCCAAAAGCTAAAAGTAAAAATAGCTGAAGTAACAGAGATATTTTGGTGTGGAAGGAGCAGAGAAGTGCTTGTCAGTGCATAGCTGTGAACATAAATAAATACTGGACTTTCAAGTAATGTCTGTTTTCTCCAAGCAAGGCAAACTCATAATAGCTGTCTTTAAAAAGTGGTTATTTTGGAGAATGGAGTAAGTGTTGTAGGCATGCATTTGGCATTTGTGTATATACCCTGCCAGTACTCTAGACATTTCTGCATATGACTTTGTCTAATCCAGGTAATGTTCAGAATACTGGCTATGTAATATATGCAATATTTGGGCATTATGTCAGCTCTATAAATTACTGCAGTGAAAATTAATAACTTCCTCCTTTGTAATTAAGAACTTGTCTCTCTTGTGGCCTGCTGAAGCAGCGAGGTAAGAGGGAGTAGTGATTCCCAGGTCCAATTGTGTAACCATGGAGCTGCTGTCTGGATCACAGTGTCTCAAAGGAGCAGAGGGCTCACAGGAGATAGCTTCCTTGGGTAGCTATGGGACCTTGCTGGGTAGGGAAGATGCAGAAAGGATTGATACACTGAGAAAAGACGCACCCAACTCTTGTAGGTAGACCTTGGGAGCAAAAAGGTGCCTGTCTCTGGGCGTGCATTTGGTATATACAAATTTTCCAGTATTTAGCTGCATGTTTTTTTCCTTTCTTATTTGGTAAAGACCACATTGTGTCTAGAGAAGAAACCTGCATTTTAGTTCACTAGTTACGGTTCATGCATATTTATTTCAAGTATCAACATCCAGTGACCTTTACTATGTAGAAGTCAAATAAGTTTTTCACAATGCAAGGCGAAGGTGGCACTTCAGCTTCTTTTGAGCTAGTGTACTGAGCATTGAGCAGCCTATTGATATGATGAACCATATGGATCTCAGACCAGGATTAAATCATGTCAAATATAAGTTCTTGCTTGAGTGCTTGATTTTTTTCTTCTGTAAGTCTATAAATGCATGTACAAGCTCTTCTCTCCCACTTTACACGTGCCATAAAAGATGCTAATAGCATAATAGTTAATGTCACAAGTGACCTATTTTAAAACATTACTTAGAGTCACTTATTTCAGCACTGTCTGTTGAAATTTTCTATTTTAGATACCTGCCTCAGCCCACTTCTGTCTGTTTGAAATGAAAAAAAAAATCCTATTCTTTTCAGAAAAAAAAAGGCAAAGTAAATTTTGCGTGTTCTTACATATTTGATCAGCTCCATCACACTGTTCTTCAGCCTCAATCTAAAAGTTTTGTTAGATCATTATCTTTTGCTCTTCCAGTGAAAATCCATTAGGGAAAACACTGAAAAATTTGTTTTTTCACTTGATCAGTTGAGATTTGGTATCTGAATTCCCTGAAATTACTGTCTGTACAGCACATGCCAAGCACAATATTGCAGGTATTGAGCAAAATCTTGTCAGGGATTACTTTTCCTAAAATTTTAGGATATTGTGGCATCAAGCACTGGAAGTTCAAGCATATGCTGACCCAGAGCAGGGCAGCATTTGGTGCTGGGGATGCTGAGGTGGGGAATTCTGCTCCTGATTCCAAGTGCAGTGCAGACCATCAAGGCTGAAAGTGAGGAGATGCTCCTGGGCTTTTGAGGTTCTCTTTTTACAGCTGCTCAGACCGAGGTGGAGGAAACCTCCTGAACTGAGGAGCTGTGAGAGGACTTGACTAGAATGGGACCTTAAAGGGAGCAAGAAAGAACTCATGTAGAAGCAGGGATGCTGCCACTGGCATAAGAGATGGCAGAAAAATTGGAGGAGTGTGGATATAGGTTGGGATAGGAGACAGAAAGAAAAGAGGTAGGATTGAAAACTTGAGGGTGTAATGCACAGGAGAGAGGCTGGGACTAATAAATAGGCATAAGAAGAGGAATATATACTCCCAAGGTGAATCTGAACAAGCCATAGAATACAGCACTAAACAGAAATATTAGAATGGGAAACTGGGACTGGAGGAATTTAGGGGTTGCATTTGCAAAAGTATTGGTGCAAGGCAAGGACTGGGAGTGGGGGGAAGAACGTGAGAGAAAAGTCTTTGCAGTGGGAAGCAGCAGAAGGCCACCAAAGCTAGACCTGAGAGGCAAAGCCAAGATGCACGGTGCCCTGTGCTGCAGAATTGCCTGGGAAAGCTGCATGCACCCCAGCCCAGCCTCCCTTCAGCCTGCTCCACGTGCACTCCACCGTTGCTCCTTCCACTCACGTGGCCAAAGCCTCTGCTGTGGACCATGAAGTGCCAGCCCTGTATTTCAGTATCACTGCCATTCCATACAATAGACTTTTTTTCAGGCTTTCTTTTCTCTCCTTTTCTGTATTTTTTTAAAAGCAACCTATGAAATTATAGATAAAAGGGTACAAATCCACGAATGTTGCAATAAAACCAAGCACTATTAAAAAAAAAAAGGAAAAGGAAAAAGAATAATGCTGTCCATGAAGCCTTAATTGGGCCCCCTTGTGTGTATACATTTTGATACTGTCTCTAATTACATGGTCACACACTGCTTTTCCCATGGACCCCTGCACTGTTTTGTGCACTAAGTAGTAGGTGATTGCTGAATGAGTGCAGCTTTAAGTTGTTTTATTCTCTCTGTTGCACGGGTAGTCCCAGGCCTGCCTTCCTGCAGACTGCTCGAGACCACCACAGAATCCCTGATTTCCTTGTGGCTTTTCTATTGCTGTCTGTTTTGAAAAAAAGAACGTTTATTTTTGAAATGCACTCGCTCCCAGATGTGTGGTAAGGCTCTCTGCTCCCAGGTGTGCAAAAGGGGATGCAGGGTGGCTGAGTGAGGCGTGGAGGGTGGCTGAGTGTGGTGTGGCAGGGCTGATGTTCTTCTGGCTCTCCATGGTGTGGGTCATGCCCTGTGTTCAAACCAGGCTGCTCCTGACTGCAGGATGCAGCTGATGGGCACAGAGTCTCCTGGGACATGGAGCTCTTTCTCAGGACACACAAATGCCGGATGCTGTGGGAAGGTGAGCTTGCCTCCAGTGCTGGAGACCAGCTGGAATCTGCTAGGGCAGAACTGCAGAGAGTCAACCCAGTGGGCATACATTATTTTAGTTCTGTGCCTTATTTCTCTCTTTTTCTCCTGGTCTCTGACTGAAGATGGGATATGCAGGCAGTCGTCTTTTACTGATGAGGACAAATTCAGAGTGTAGGTTTGGTATGGATGGCTTGAGGTCATCTGGGGAAGAGCTGTGCAGTCAGACACTGTCATCATTGACATGTGTCGGGTGGGGGCTGAATTAAGGTACTCTAGAGGATCTTAATTATGGCGCCTGAAACTTTTGACTGCTTTGCAACCCTAATGTTCTTATAATTTAATTTGAGCTTACATGTGCTTAATATATATTGCTTCTTCACTTATGAAAAGATGTTAACAGGCTGCACTCTTCAAATACTTTTATAAAAATTCTGAATTTAGCTTTCTGAACAGGTTTTTGAAATCAATACAGAGAGAGCTGCTAACAGGAGGTAAACTACAAACCACAAACACTTTCAATGGGATAGCTCTTTTTATATAACATTTGATATCATTTTCACAGCATGATCTCTACTTTCATACTGTGATAGCTTTTACCTGGAGTTTAGATGATTCATTTTTGTAGTGGATACTTAACTTTTATATGAGGAAAATGCAAGAGAAGCCAGCACAGCATTAAATGAACTATAGTTGCAGCATTAAATGAACTACAGTACAGTAATAATGTTGGATGCTCAGATCCTTGCCATCTCACAGGGTTGGATTCATGAAGGCTCTATTGATTCATAAGGGAGGAGATATGGATGCCTGGAATTCTCTCTGAGTTTTTAGCGTATCTAATTCAAATTTTAAGAGTAGGTTGGGCACTCAGTGGTTGTTTAGTAATTGTTAGTAATCCCTGTAGGACTCTGCTTGAAAATTGACTCTGATTTCCTATTGGTGTGGATCTTGGAGAGCCATGTGGCTGTGTTGCTGGCTTGTCCTCTTGTTTTCTTTCCCCGAAGCTCTTAAAATTAATTTAGAAACCTTAATTTTACACTGACTTCTACAGTAACCACCGAGACAAGGAAGAACATTTTTGTTAAATGTTCACATTTATAATGATTATTCTTTCAAAGAGATCCAGATTTTTTGTGGGGTTTATATGGACTGCATGGAACTAAGTCTGTTATTTCAGCTTTTCTGGTAAATGATCACAGTTGTTGAGGCTTTCTAGGCTACCCTGCCAAACTTCTGTTTTCACATGCTTGTGACTTCTTATGAACCATTTTGAAGTGAAGTTTTCTATATATACAATTCCCAACCAGTTTTTGTGTCTACTTATTCCTGAATAGTGCAAAAATGAAAAAAAAACCTTAAAAATATTGGTTTGATACTGTTGAAAAATAGTTTAAAGACAAAATTTAAGTATTTGCTTTATTTCCTCTGTTCAGCCTGTCATCAGCTTCTACTCTTTTTCTTTAGGTTTCCATCACACTCCCATTCTTCTTTTCCTGTCCAAGAAACCTACATAGGAATACAAAAATGTGAAGTGGCCTGACAGTCACATGCTATTAAAAATCTGTCAAACTTGAGGTTAGTCATCAGAAATCTTCTCATCAGAGTTTCTGGAGGGAAACAACAAATCAATAATATTAGAAAAATTTCAGCTGGACTAATTCTTTAAAATTCTATTGAAGATTTTTGTTTGTAATGTAATTCTTGCTTTAGAAAAAAATAATAAAGGAAAGCTTTCCTTCTTACTAGAAGCCAGACATCCCTTGCTCATTTCAAAACAAAGAGAAAATCTTGTAGGTCTTCTAGTGTTTTTATAAACTGAGAATCAGCCTGATTCTATCAAAAAGAATCCTGCAGGACCTGTCTTGCACTTGGTCAAGATGAAGGTGTTTGACCCTTTTTCTCTTGTCACATATATTGTAAAGCTATTTTGAAATGAATGAG